TTATTATTAAATACAAGAGTAATGCTTTTGCACGAATGTGTACGAGCCTCTCCCCGGCAGCGGGAGTACATAAACGCGCGGTTATGTCTATAAGCTCTCGACCGAGGCTGCGCAAAATGAATGGATTAAGTGGATCGAGATAGATCGTTAAAGGCGAATCGTCGAGTGCGCGGCCGGCGGTGTTACGTATCGCCGCGTTCCCTAGAACAGGCCGCGTAGCCGGAATATTTACGATCGCACGAACGAGTCGGCGTGCGCACGAGTTAATCTCGAAGGATGCTTCGTGCAAGATCCACCTTTCTTTCTTTCTTTTTCTTTTTCCTGCTCTCAGGACTCGCCGCCGCAACTGCCGAGGATCCGGGGCAGAGCTTTCTCACAAGTCGACGCGAAGAATTAAGCTCCTTTCGGAACGCGATGTTAAATCGCGGACAGAGCGATGCGTTCCACTCTGTGCTTGTACGAAAGACGTGGAGAAAAGGGGATGCGCATTTACGAGGCACTCGTGTAATTTCACTCCAATTCCAATTACGGCCGTACGAAATTAAGAATTAATCCGCGAAGGCGCCCGCGCGTACATCCATCGCTCTTCACCGGCTGCTTTCTCACGTATCCCCGCAAATGTCGAGCATTCAAGGATACAAGCTCAGCTCGAGAAAAGTGAAAAATCGACGGATTCTTCCGGAACGTTTGTTCGACTCTGTGTACGCGAAGTACAGCTCGAGTAGTTTCACGGTGGCAACATGCCTTTTCCTATATAAATAATGAACATTGAAGTAGTATCGCTTCCCCGTGTGCGAGGTGTATAAATTTCAAATTAATCTTTACGCAACCAGGAACGAATATCTACGCCAACGCGCGCGATAAATATTCCGCTCCGCTGTGTATATATAGTATATACATATATATATATATCTTTTCTCGTGTGAAAATCTCCCACGTAAGGTGAAACTTAACGTTAACGCTTAATGACGAGTGGATTATAGTAAGCACGCCCGCGATACTCCTAAGGCGCGGTTCTCACGTGCCGGACAAGTTAGATTAATTTTCCGAGCGAGCGAACGAAACCCCCCCCCCCCCCGCGAATTCGATTTGCATAAGGCGACCGCGTTCTTGTTTCGCGCGTGGGCCGCGAAGGCATCTCCTGCTTGCGGGAACAAGTGAAAGGATCGATGCAATTCGTTTCGTCCGAACGCGAAGAAAAGATCGATTCGAGGAACGTGCGTTACAAACGCTACGCCCATCTTAATTAAAACCTGATTAAATCTAATGAACTTGAAGAGGATTAAATATACATTCGTGCTTTTGTAAAAAGATACTAATTACGGACGCGGAAAACTCGGAAACGGAACTTTCTTTTATCGAGAAACGAAGAAAACTATTAAATTGTAAAAAAATCTTTTAATTTATTTTCTGAAAGCTTGTCTTTTGCGATAAAGCGTATTCTTTTCTTGCACTCTTTAACTATAAATATATTTTTCTCGTTTACACGACGAATGTTAACAGTGAATATTTTTATTTAATTCGCATAATATTAAATATTTCATACGAATTTCCATAAAACAATTAATAAGTATAGATAAATATATAAGAGCGGAGATGACAAAGGGAAAAAGGTTTTGAATCAGCTCTGTCAAAGCTTTCAGACCAACCCGACAAATTGCTGACATTGACGTTGAACTATTTGAGGAACGGTGTGAGTATCGGAACAATAGAAGGCTCGTTGTCGTCGCTAATGACGGTCGTATTTCGATTTCTATTCTGTCGCGTCCTTTGTAACTGCGAACAGATAGACTGCGCGAGGAACACGGCGAGAAAGACCTCTTCCTAGCATTTCCATACAATAGCGGGAAAAAGACGGTATGTATTGCGAGATATCCGGTGATGGCCTCTGACTGATAACGAGGCCAGGATGAAAGATGTTGAAAGAGCCGTACGTCCACGAGAATCACGTTCGGATCAGATTTTCGCGACATATGCGATTATATCACGCCTTCTTTACATAAAATGTTAAATGTTGAAATTAAACGCGCTGCTATGATACAAGTGTAACAGACAGGTGTGACACAAACTCGACGTAACAAAAAAAAATGCGAAGAGTAATTAAATTTGCGAAAATCGTGCGCGCTGAGTTAGATAAAATTACGTATCTTCGCAACGACTGTCGGTTCGCCGAAATTTTTGTCCCGACTGATATTTCCTCTATTTCTTGCCGATCCGAGTGTGTGAGGGGGAATACATTTACGGAAAGCTGAAAATTTCAGCGACGGCGACGGCGGCGGCGGCGGCGGCGGCCGAGCGGATGGGGTTACGCATGGTCGCTCAGGCTGAACAGTCCACCGACTGAATACTATCGTGACGTCACTCGCTACGGTCACTGCCTGAATTATTCAGTATTCCTTCGTTTCTAGTTGTTTCAGCGATGCCGCGTGCAATCTCGTACGAAAGTTTGTTTTTACGCACGCGGCATGCATTGTAGTAAAGCGTGTTTTATCGGCTCTCACGGCAGAGACCTTCGCGACAGAACAAGATCGCAAGAGCCATTCTTCGCTACTTCTCATTGTAAACTTGTTTACAATCAAGGATATCTATATCTAGTGATATCAAGGATATCTTTTGTTAGACACCTGGATTAGTAATATCGCGGCGATATCTGCAAAATGCAATAACACTATCGCGGACTCCAAAAGCGAGCGTTTCATTCAGGACGCAATCAGCGGTTAGATCCTTGTAACGAGCTACCCTCGAAGGACGACCACGGCCACTCCGTTAATAACTACAACGATCCCTCGCTGCTCGACCGTGATGGCTATCGAAATTAGATAGAAAATTGCCTTCGTCTTATTCGATTTTAGAAGCCGGAGGTTTCATTAAATTCTTTGAGAGATGAGGAATCGATAGATCTGCCAGGTGCTATCGGATAGTATCTCGTTGTGAAGGGGGCAACAACTGCCGCGCGATATCGAGCGATCGATTAACCGTGGAAAGAAAACAGGAACGCGCGAAGGATAAAATGATAGGATCGTGGAATTAATATCGATTTTTCTCGGCGTCGCGAGACGACGTGTAATTTTGTTAGGCAGTTAGACGTCCATGGAAAGCGTGGAAAATGAACTAGTGCTTTAATAATAAATCCGTACCGATTCTCCCCGACTTCCTTCGCTCGTTCTTTTCTCAGCGCCCAGTTCTGATTTATGGACCGTCTCTCCGCCCGCTCGCCATCGTTCCGCGCTCTCTCGGAAAGCCGACAACATTATTCGCCGGCCACAATGTCCCACGCCGAGATAAAGAATATACAGTCGGTTAGAGTTGCATAATAACCGACGCGACAGGTAATGAATCGCTGTTTCGTCGGGTATTAATGATCGTTGCTGTTCCTTTCGTGCGATTCCCTCCCATCTTGTCGTCGTTATTTCCATCGCTAGTTCGATCATCAGCGATCCTTGACCAGGAGTCACGGTTGGAAGAATAACCAATCGCTTCGTGGCGCAATATTTCGGCGGCAAAAATCAATTTGTTTATTCATTAATTGTCATGCAAAATTGCGTTTAATTGCAATTCTCCAGTTCTGAACCGAAGTTCCTCGGTTAATTCGCGGACGAGTAATAGTATGATTATTAAGATATAACAAGATAAAAAATAATAAATAAAAATAAAAATTATATAAAATTTAATAAAAGTAATCATTATAAAGGAATTATTTGGAATTTGTATCTGCGAATAATATGGAATTATACAAAAAAGATGAGATATTTAAAAATCTGCAAAATGTCAGGCAAGAAACGACAAAAGAAAATCACGCGGCCTTGAATATATTAATGAAAACAGGAAAGTCATGAGAAGGAGGTTTGTAGGCCTATGCCGATTACGATTGAATGTAATTAATTAACCGATGCGCGGCGGATTACCTCAAAGATCCCATTACATAGCTCGTTTAACGGGAGCATCTTTTAAAAACCACGCTGTAATAACGTCGGACGTGTTATTAATCGAAGTAAGCACTCTTCGCAATTAGTGGAATAGCGTAAAATTCGTAATAACACGTTCGCGCCGGCAGTGTCTCGTGATTAATTGCGGAAAGCTATCGACGCTCGTGTTTTCTACGTTTCGTACTTTATTCGTCCAGCTATTCGTCCCATTTCGTTTCTCGCGACATATGTGGACTTTCATTCCGCACACGCGAGGTCTCACATCGAAGCGTTCTCGTTAAAATCGTGATTTCGGAGAAGTACCGACTATTAGCTCTGCAACTCATCCGTGTCTCCCGTCTGCCTTTTCATCTCTATTTCTCTCTCTCTCTCTCTCTCTCTCTCTTTCTGTCTCTGTCAATTTTCGCTGCCTGGTATTCCGTCTCTTTTTCTCCAAGCAGATCATTACTGGCGTAGAAATGCGAGGTTTTGTCGGTAAAGTAAGATGGAATGTGCGGCAAAGGAGCATCAATGGATCCATAAAATCCGCTCGCGCACCACGAGTTCGAATCTAGTTTGCGGCTGCACGCGGCGCAAGATGAAAAAGGAGATGTCAGAAGAAAAGTTATCGCGGAAGAAAGTTCGTGTGAAAATTGATGGCGAATCCACTTCCATCGGTTTGCAATTGCCGATGACACGTGGGTTTTCTTTCTACGGAAGTAGCCGCGGACCATAAGAGAAATTATAGGTTTAAATGCTATACAACATACATTAAAAAATAGAATAAAAATGTTTATAATTCCTTCATGATCTGCGGCTACCGCCGTACAAAGTAATTTTTCATATAAAATTTTCTCCGTATGCTTATATTTTCTTAAGAAAGAAAGAAAATTTTCCGTAAACATCTTTCTTTTATAATTAGCGATGTATATAAATTTCCTGAAGATTATTCATGTATGTTACTTTTTCAGAATTAAATATGACTGATGTAATATTGCAAAAAGTGTAATCTAAGATCTGAAGTATCCGAGAGTATCGGATCGTATCGATAATCGGAGGATGTACAAGTAATGTTGTCTTATTTTCTTGTTGCAGCAATGCCAGTCGTTGAAGAAGGAAAACCGGAGGCTGCAGAGTGCCTTCCTGCAAAACGTCTTTCTACAAGCGCGAGTCGACACGCTCCAATGGCAGGTTAAACAGGTTCGTAATATCGCGCGATACTTGAAAATTTACAAAAGAAGAAGCGACCGATAAGACCGCCAACCGGTTTACCTCGCTCCGGTTACTTGATATCGCGTCACGTAACAACCGGTCGACGTACGGTCGGCTAGTTTTCCCCCTCGATGATCCACGTGAATTTCGTTGACCCGATTTTTCCTATTTCATTATCGTTTCATGAATGAACTTGTACGTACGCGCTGCAGATCTACCCTTTCGATCCCCTACAGATTTTCAACTCGTTGATTTACGATATATTGCTTTTTTTTTCTTTTATTTCTGAATGTTACTAATAAACATTTACATAGAGTCGAATTACACCGGTTTTCGATTGACGATGTGAAGTGTACCGGAAACCAATTGTCGTTTATTGAATAAGATGTTGGTTATTAGTTAAGAAAATGCACGAGTAGTCGGTCGTCGGCTTTTTTCCACGATGGTATTGAAAAGTTCATGCATAAATGGACGAAGATCATAACAATGACTGAAATTATATTCTCGAATTTTATCTCAAGTATTTATCCTTGCGTATACGATAAACAAATAACTCACTAATATTATTAATATATATTCTTACATTCGCGTGAGAAGTAACAGATCGATGTAGCAAAGTGGCCGAAATGAAGAGTTAGCGTCCGCTTTGCTTGCTTGCAGGTCGAATCAAACAGGCAGATGTATCGTTCGACAATGGAACAAGTCGCTCAGTTCTTGGGCCGGGCTCACAGGAGCCTGGAAATCCTTCACGCCAAGGAAAATCTCAAGGACAAAAGACGCGTGCCGCGTAGTCGCAGTGTGCACACGGTAGTGCACGCGGATCCTTCGCCGAATCGCAGCACCGCAACACCGTCGCCCTCCTTGTCGACTTCCTCCCCGTTCACACGCGCTAAATCGGTTACGCAGATCGGATCGCCAAGCGCTACTTGCTTTCGAGAATTTACCTGGTCAGTTCTGCGCAGGAACGACCCAATGCACTGCTCATCGTCGCGTGCCAAGCCGCCGCAGGATCTCAATAAAGCGAGTGACAGTTCCGATAACGTTGCTTATCAAGAGCCGAAGCAGACGGAGCTGAATCCGGACGACGTACCGCCAGAGAAGCTGTCGCAAGAGGCGTTCAGGTGCGTGCGGAAAATTTCAAAAATTTATTTCAACTATTTGCCTGGAACAAAAATAAATTACCAATTTATTAGTTATTTTATTATTATTATATTAGTAGTGATATTATCTTCTTATCATATTAAATTAATTAAATGTCCCGATAGATTACTGAGGACCGTCGAGTCCTTGCTGACGATGCGAGAGCCTGATTTGGCTAGGGTGATCGAGGACAGCGGATCCTCCCCCTCCCCGACAACGGAGCACCATCGTCATCACGACGCGTCTCTTTCGCTGCCGAGCGGTAATTTCGCGAATTCGACGACCTTGCAGGAGGTCGCCGTCTACGCCGTGTCGACCGCAAGTTCCGGTCGTGGAAACGAATCGAGCAGCAGCCAACAGAACGATAATAGATCGCCAAACTTCGCCAAGTCGTCCGTCGCCGAATTCACGCGAAATCTGCAAGCCTTTGTACCAGGCGTGAGAAGATCGCCCGACACTGCCTCCTGGAATTCCAGTAGCAGTAAAACGACCGAAGAAGAGGACGCTATCGCGCTCGCCACGCCGTCGAACGAAACCACGTCGAACGGCACACCGACTTCGACGCTTAGCAGAGCCGCGAAGCGATTGGAGAAAAAGGAGTCGGGATTAACCAGGAAGAGTAAAGTGAAGCCGGCCAGCAGTCCGGTGAGCAGCGCCGAGGGCGAGAGCGGATTCTTCTCCATCAGCTCCTTCCAGGATGTCGGCCTGCCCTCATCGACGGTCCTCTCGATCACGCCCGTCAAGGGCTGTCACACCGAGGTGGGCTTGCCGGAGGTGCCGTTGGACAAGACCAGACATCGACGATGGTCCTCCACGCCGGCGGAGATCCAGGCGCTTTTTAAGCAACACCGGGCGAGTTTCGGTGGCACACCACAAACCGCCACCGAATCTGTCAGCGTCTGTTGGGTTTGAGCCGCGCGTGCTACACCCAATTTTTATCCCACCGCAAATAATCGTCACAGTTTTAAACGAATTCCGCAAGCTGGATTCGCTCGCGCGAACCGCGAGCATGAATCGTATGACTCTACTGTTTTCAGGAATAATATTTAAGTTGACCGACGGAGAGAGAGAGAGAGAGAGGGAGAAAAAGAGAGAATATTTAATAAGCAATAGCTTTGTAAATAATTTCCTACATAGTCGTGCGATCTTTTTGTTACGTTCATAAAATACGTAGAGTAGTACGTGTAGTATAATAATCGATAACAGCTGCGATTTATCTCGAAAGTACATAAAACGTCGTTCCGTCGCTATTTCGGAACGATGACGACGCATGAAGATTGTTTAACGTTCTCGCGCGAGGATGATATATAGAAATATGATAATGAATAGTAAGAGAAAACGTATGGAAAAAAATGAGGAATTTATATATGTATACCCGCGTAACTGGGTGAACTTTATAGATAACGCGGCCATTCTATAAGTGTAGAAGAGAAGAATAGTCTACTTGGACATTGCAATCAGCCATATCTCTCGTAGTTTCGCGAACTCCGTGCATATCAGTAACAATGAAACTTCGCTCGTCTATGCGCGACTATCGATGACCTCATATATTGTAGTTCCATTCGTTCAGAAATGTTTGAAAAGCCTGATGCGTTAAGCGTGTTTCGCGGTTGACAATTGTCCCAGTTTGATTCGATTAATTAATAATCGTTTATTATAAATTGAATCGAATTGGACTTGAGTTAATTTGATTGAGTTCGAACGTAATGAACGTAATTTTAATAATTTGTATTATTCTGTCGCGATGTAGTTTAAGTTAGTATAACTTGATTCATTAAGTGCGTAACAACTTAAATTTGGAAGAATGTAAAAAATATATGCGAAAAGATAAACTGTCTATTGTTAGTGATGAAGTTTGCTACGAACGTTCTTATAAAATCTATATTTTCTATTACATTTCTGTTATTTGATAATTCTGATACATGTTGCTGGTTTTGCAAGATATTTTCAATTTGCGACTTTTCACTTGTTTACACTTAACTATCGAAATCGATTATTTATTCGCATGCCTATTGTGATAGTTGTTTCATTTAATTCATAGTGCAACACGATTTTTGGTATTCTTTAAAATTAATAAATTTGTAAATCTCACAATTGTTTACGACTGCTGTACTCTAATTCACGAGAACAACATATCTCTTAATAACATGTAATGATATGGCGTTATTTGAGACAGAGTTCTAGAATTTACGATGCTGCTCTCTGCATATTTTCATTGTGCATAATTTGTCATTTTCACTTGTAATTGTATAATAAATATCATGCTGAATATCATGCCAAAATATTTCGATTTTATCTATATTTTTTGCTGCTTTTCCCTTCTTTTCTTTTAATCACGTACTTTAATTCAGCTAAATATCATTATTATTTAACATGTAAAGATTTGAGATTTCAATATAAAGGGTAATTTTTATCGCAGTTGTAAAGTTTATTAAAATTGTTAATTATAGTATTGCTTTTCTATTTTATAATTTTATTTAAAAATATATTTTATATATAATGATTCTATAAGTATATCTTTCTACAAATGTTAATTTTTAAATTGAACACAATTTTGTGCGATAACAATTAGCAGAGAGAGAAACTTGAGAGCGGTCATCGTGACTATAGTCATTTGCAGTGAGAAAAGCTGCAGATGGCAACCAGATATGCATATATGCATTAACTGACCGCTTAACATTCGATATGGGATTTAACTATCTTATCTATGGTTCTATAGATCTAACAAGCTTGCCAAGTGCTTTTCATTACGTTAAAGCGCTGACAGATTGGGAAGCTTTGTCTCTAAATATTCATGATATAAAATCTTTAAATAGTTATGTATCTATATATAATTAATAGTATCAATATATTTAATTTAGTAACATTAGTTGACATCCTCAATAAGCAGATTGTTACAATATTCAAGAAAGTTTGAAAAATTTGTATATCGATCCAATAAGACGAAATGAAAGAGCATCATTATTATACATTCGCCAAACGGATGATAGCATTGTGATATCAAAAAAAGAAGAATTTTTCAGAAAATTTTGACAAATTTAAATTGTGTGAAAAGATTCAGAGTTCTTTTTATTAATATTTTTCGCGTGATAATATATTCGACTCCACTAAATAAGTTGAATCATATCTCAAGATTTGTGCGTTGCTTAAGCATTGTTGATTGAAATATAGACCTCAACATCCGCAAACTTATGAAAGGTTCATTTTATCAGAACCGATAACAAAAGTCAGCTCAATACTAACTCAAATGCATCTACATAGCACATTCAAACTTCTTCGTCTGCGGTATCGCAATGCATTCGTTTTTTACGAGCCCTTTTTTTCCTCGACAGCAATTCTATTTTCTAATCGTCCCCCTGGATTGACAGTCGTATATACAATTACTGTAGAAAGCGAGAAGAAGAATGCGACAGGGGAGAGCAAAGTCTCGTCAGCCGATCGAAGCCGCGACTCGGCACCGATCGACGTCGGCCTTCTGGTGCGATGCGGCGTCGCGATGCGGGTCGCTAATGCGGGGTCGTAGCGTGAGAGCGGGTCGCGATTGCGCGCGCAACCTGATAACGCTGAGGCAGGCAGGCGCGAGCACTCGGGTGCTCGTTATCAGTGCGGCAGGCGTCGGCAGGCTTAAAACGGCACTCGGTCCACCAGTCGACCAGGAGATCGCGCCACGAGGCGAGCCACTTTTAGATTGATTTTCAAGAGCACCGCCAGCACGGGGCCAGCGCTCCGCGTTTATTTTAACGCGCCCAGAGAGCGGGTATAGGGAACGGGTCGCGCGCTCGGCCGCATAGGCGTACAAAGCTGATAGGGATAGTGCGAGAGAGCAACGTGACGACGAGGCGAGAGGTTCGGCAATCGCGACGGGCGAAGCCTCTCCTCCGCGGCACAAGACCGGTCTGACGGAACCGTCGTATATTTTCGATCGTGTCTGTCTCTCGCGCATCGGAGCGCAAGCACGTATTGTACATACAGAGCGCGCGACAACTGCAGCGTGTGTGCCGTCACGAGGGAATATACGTGTAACATATTCCTCCTGTCTGTCTTTTTCCTCTCTCCCGGTCGTCCGCTGGTTCATCGTTCGTACGTCGTCGATTCGTTCTTTCGCGTCCGTCCGTCCGTTTCACGCGCCGCATCGCGCCGCATCGCATCGCAACACATCTCATCGCATCGCATCACATCGCATCGCATTGCATCGCATCGCATCGCATCGCATCGCATCGCATCGCATCGCATCGCACCGATTCGCTTCGTTCCGTCCCGTGCCTTCTATAACTCTCTATCTATAACTCGTGTGCGGTGTGTGCTATCGAGTGTGTCCCCGCGTGTGTGCTGCGTGCGGTAGGCCCCGAGGTGTGCGCTTGTAGGCTTCGTGGCGCAGTGCGTGAAATGAGTGACAAGGACCGCTCTTCTCCCACTCTCGTCGAAAACAGTCTCAAGTCGCTGCTCGACCAGCCCAGCATATTTCCGCTGATCGGTAAGTGTTGGCCAGTTCGCTGACGCGGGATGACTGCGTATGTTGCACGCGTAAATTGTCCGCTGGCACGCGCAACGTGCGGCCGACCTTTCCGGTCGCCCGGCTCACAGCCGTGCCGATTCCGAGCGTTCGCCGTTCTCCGCGCGCTCGGCGCGCTCCTCTCCTCCTCGCTCTTTTCCTCTGTCCTCGATCGTTTCTCGACGTTCGCCTCTTAGCGGCTCTCTCCTCCTGTGGTTAGTCCGCGAACTCACGATTCCGTGGAAATGCGCCGAGAAATCTTTCCCTAAAGATTTGCTCTTTGCATTCGCGGCGCATTTGCGTTCGGCCGGTTGCGGAGCGCGAGAATTTTGCGCTGTTCGCGCTCGCAACTCGCTACTGCCGGTCGATTTTCGAAAAAATCATATTTCAAAATTCGCGCAAACACGCGGCTATCACAGCGCGGACTAGCGGCGATCACGTGAGCGCATGGTGCGCAGCACGCTCGCCGAAAGTTTGAATATTCGATGAGCCTTTGAATTTCGTGTGCGCTGGCACGCACGCACGCCCCTGAGCGCAGCGCGCCGTAAAAACTTACGCTTTTTCCTATTATCGGACTGCCAAAGAGGGCCAAAGTGCAAAGGGCGAGAACGCGAAAGGGGTGGAGAGAGGGGAAGAGAGAGAGAGACAGATAGAGGGAGGAATAGAGAAAGAGAGATATCATGCAGGACAACGAGCGTGTGTTTGTGCGCTTGTCGTCATCGCGCCGACGCTGTTGGTCTGCCAATTAACCTCGTTTAGACCCCGTGGCGCACCACGTGATGCTGCTAGCCTTACCTCGCCCTGAGCGAACCCAACCTACACGCCCGATTCCGCTCCGCTCGGCAGAACGAGCATGAAGCGACTAATCTTACATGATGCGGCTGAGAGGGCCGAGGAACGTCGGATAACAGCCATATGATAGCATTCTAATATATTCTAGAAGAGCAAGAACTTAATCAAAGTTATCGTGAAAAAATCGAAATGGCTAAATTAAATGTAATCGATAGGAATTCATTCCGCAAAGTTGCGAACGCCTTATCTTTGAAATTAGGAATTAAAATAGATTTTGCCCTCCCATTTCTCTTCAATCAAATTCTATTTCTATTTCAAATGGAATTTAATAATTGATTTTTTTAATTAGCATAAAATATCCCACACAGTAAATTGTGGTAATCTACATTAAAGCCTTAATATTTATCGCGAGATGTAAAAGTAATTAAGAACATTATTTTTTTAAACCACAATCTGTAGAATGCACACAGTAGTAGGTCGTATATCATTTGTAGTGAAATGAAAAATCGGTAAATATTATCGAGTTTTAATTTCAAAAATAAACAATTTGATTACTGCCAGTTATGCATTCCTGCTAATTAATTTTAATCCTAAATTTTCGCAAGATTTAATTTAATAATTTTCCTTATTCCCCCCCTTTAGTCTAAACGTTAAGAAAGGTTAAAGTTAGTTAAACTAATGCTAAAATTATCCCATCTTGATTGAAATCAATTAAGCTTGTTATTTCAATCATGAGTGTTATCATATTTTTTATTTCTTCCTCTTTTTTCTCTGATAATTAGTTTCGTTAATTCGTTGAAATAAATATTTCCTCTGACTTTTACGTAAAAAAGAAATCAATCCAAGTTATTCATAACTCATAATTGTTAAAGTACAAAAAATTTGTTGTCCTGTGAAAAATACATAGATCAAAGACTTATAGGAATTTATCCTGTAAACTTATATTTTAAAGTAGTATTGCAAAGGCAATTTCTCTTAATCCATCTATATTTTCCGGCTAATGACGGTTGCGCGTTTTCCAGGAAACGATGCACCGTTTGATGCAAGTTGCAATCGGATGATGCCATTTTTGTCACGCCGCTAGTTTTATTATGAGCGATGCACGAAACAGGTTGCATAGTCGAATGGGAAGTAACTCGTTACGTTGAGCCAGGAAACTGTCCCCAATTTATTACCTCACTGAATCGAATTATTAATGTAATGCAGATTAAATAATTAACATAGAGCGCGGATATGTGCATACGAGGGAGATGCGTCAATCATTTTTTATTCCGTTGAATTTTTATGTTCCGAGTTTGGTCAGCGATATATTGCATTTTTTTTCATCCGATAGATAACAAAGTCCGCTCGAATTGCTTTCTCGATTACGCAAAATGCGATTATCTGAAGTGGATTCGAATCTCGTTCCGTAGATAAAAAGCAAGAGAAAAAGTAATGCTATTTCTGATTACTTTTTTTTTAACGCGCACCGCCCATGTTACAGAGACGCTGATCGATCCGTTTTCATCGACTATTTTTATCAGTTGTTTCCCATATTAGCAAATATTTTTAAAATACGCATAAATAAATCGTCGCCAAAATAATTCGGTCTCGAGTTCAATTGGCACTCTGTTCGTTGCCACGCGTTCAAGTTTAGAGGAAAAATGCGTCCTGGTCGTTGCAATATCTTCTTGATAAAAGAAGATCTATGTGGCTGCAAACACACATGATATATCGCAAGTAAAGCGACGCTTCGTATTACATACTTTCTGATACTGCAGCGTCATAAGAACCTGAATCCCTTTCATTTACTCGTGCATATGGTTGTAGCAGTGACATTTTATTTATTTTCGGTATTATGATATCGCAGCATTAAGATTTCATAATCGTTTTGTTCGTTATCTGTTGGCAGTCGATGTTACGACACGTATAAAATTGCAGTGATTTTTTTTTAATGTCTTCAGTGTGTTATACATCTATTTTTATATCACATAATCATCATTATGATTTTCTGGGCTG